TTTGTGCCCATTGCCCCTTGTCCTGTCACTGGCCACCACCGAGAAGAGCCCGGCCCCGTCCATTTGGCCCCCACATTTCAGATGTTTATAGCCATTGATCAGATCCCCTCTCAGGCTGCTCTTCTCCAGGCTGAACAGTCCCAGCTCTCTCAGCCTCTCCTCACACGGGAGATGCTCCAGCCCCTCATCATCTCTGTGGCCTCCACTGGACTCTCTCCAGAAGTTCCCTGTTCCTCTGGAACTGGGGAGCCCAGAAGTGGACACAACACTCCAGATGTGGCCTCACCAGGGCAGAGCAGAGGGGGAGGAGTCCTGAGATACTGTGGAGTAGTTAGCAGTTGGTTCATAATCCTTTTCTTGTATAAGAACAAATGGGTCTGGGATGTGGTGATTATTTATATTGGGTCTGACCATGGCAGTCTGAGACTTCAGAGTGACTTTTGACCTGGGCAGATAGTGAGAGGACAAGGGGAAATGGTTTTAAACTGATAGAGGAGAGGTTTAGGTCAGATATTAGGAGGCAGTTTTTCACCCAGAGGGTGATCAGACACTGGCCCAGGTTGCCCAGAGAAGCCGTGGATGTCCCATCCCTGGAGACATTCAAGGCCAGGTTGGATGTGGCCTTGGGCAGCCTGATTGAGTGGTTGGAGACCCTGTCCACAGCAGGGGGGTTGGAACTGGGTGATCTTTAAGGTCCTTCGAACCCAAACCATCCTGTGATTCAGGACTGTCCTCACGGCTGCACAGACACGACGGTGCTTCTGGCCTCTAATGATGGGTCTGTGGACATGCTCTGCAGGGTTCCTCAGAGCACCTCCAGCCTCACACCTCACCTTCTTTAAAATGTAAGAATGCCAGATGATTAATAGTGCTCCCGTCTTTCACCCTTTTGTGCAATTCTCTAAGTTGTGAAATGCTGGATTGTGACATGGTTCGAAAATGAGGTTGTTAAACAAGGAGAGGGGTTGTGGCTTGTACCGAGTCGTGACTGTGGTCACTGGAAGCACACGGCTCTTTCCCCAGTGAGGAAATACCAGTTTCCCACCTGGTTAAAGTAGAAGTGCACGAGTTTGTGTTGTGTACTATTGCCCCTCGGCTATTTCTACCCAAATTATCAGAAGCGATTGCAACCTCGGTGATTACAGAGGCAATTATTTTGTGGCCTTGATTACCCACTTGCAAGGGCTTCAGCCCTGTTTTGCCCGTGTCTTTTCTGAGCTGTTTGTCCAGTCTGCCAGTTCCTGTCAGCTCTGAATCCTTCCCATGCTCTGTCATCTCCCCTGCTGTAGGTCTGGAAGATCACAGAATCCCAGCCTGGTTTGGGTTGGAAGGGACCTTCAAGCTCATCCAGTCCCAACCCCCCTGCCAGCAGCAGGGACACCTTCCACTAGACCAGGTTGCTCAAAGCCTCATCCAGCCTGGCCAAGAACACTTCCAGGGAGGGGGCATCTACAACTTCCTTGGGCAACCTGTCCCAGTAGAAGATTTGTATGAACTCTGTGTTAATAAAAATAAAACTGTTGTTTTCAGAGGTTTAATTTGCCATTGTTGTCAGGATCATCTTGGCTATTAGCTTGTGTGAGCAAATCCTGCTGAGGGAACAAGAAGGAGCTTTAAATCCTAATACATGAAGCTGATGGGGAAAGGGGCTCAGATATTTTGAAAGAACAGGGACTTTCTTATCTCCCTTCTCAGAGGAGGAGGGAAGAGTCTCAAGTTACTGAGTTAAAGAAGTGGGTTTTCATGGTATGTACACTTCTCAGTTATCTGATTTTTTATTCATCCAGTAAGGATTTGCATCTGTTAGCTCTTCAGTACTGATTTGAATGCTTTTGAGCTTTTACCTGCACTCACATTGCAGTTCTTTAATACAAATCTAATCACATCTTTTATTTCCTTGCAGTAGTAGAAAATGAGATTCAGGCCAGAATAGACAATATATTCAGCAACTTGGAGCGCCTGGAAATCCTGTCCAGCAAAGAACCTCCCAATAAGCGACAGAATGCTAAGCTGTAAGTTCACCTTCTTTGCTATGATAGTGTGGTGGCGTCTGTGTGATTTTCATTAAATGATTTTCATTCATGCTTTTCATTAAATTTATTGAAATCCTTTGCCTTTTGATTTGAGTGAAACCTTTACAGTTTCCATAACTTAAGTTTGTGCTCTGCGGTAGCAAAATTGAGGCACGGAGGCAAAATCACTTTCCTGCATTTAACCACAGCCTGGTGATGGAACTGGATTTGTGGCTCTGTTCTGAGATGAGCAGAACATGGCACTTCGATGCTTAAAAAAAATTTCTACTCTATATAGCATTTGCTTTTAATGGCATTTTTGGAGGTAAGGAGTAAAATTACTTCAGTTGGTGTAATTTTCTCTGGACTGTTTTCTTAGCTGTTGGTGTCTAAAATGAGGATTTTTTTGTTCTAATTTATTCTGTGACTCTGTTTAGTCCCAAAATGCCTTTCTAGATACTAGGGGTAGATTTCATGTCACCTAGAGTGACATAGTGTCTGAAATAGTCATCTAGACTTTCTTTATAGTCATCAAACATTTAATCAGAGACAACGGTGTCTGGACATTATTTATTTTAGCCCGATGGAGATGTCTCCTGTATTGCCCACTGACTTTTAAACTCCTGTTAATAAAAACTCAAACTTAAGAACGTGGTGCTAATGAAACTTGAAAGCTTAAGTCATAAGACAGAAACTGTTCAAGTCCTACCATCTTTCCAAATCTGTGTTAAATGAGGAATATATATAAATATAAATAAATAAATATATATATATTTATAAACTCCTGAAGAAACTAGTTGTGGGATAGGATGTCCAAGACAGCCCCAAGAATTCTGCTTTGTATTCTGTTGTTAACCTCCAGATAAACAATCACCTGTTCTGTAGAAAAATGAGGTGCAGAAGATCTAAGTCTGGATTAATATTCAATGTCCTTAATGTCCTGGAATAATATTCAATGTCCTTAACCTTCTAGATAATTAGAACCCATCATTCTTTATTATTCAGCACTTAATTTCTAATGCTCTGTTGTTCATATAAAAAACCACCAGAGGAGAATGGTATTTTTTTTATCCCTGGGAATGTCTTCTGCTGTTGATCCTTTCTAGCCGAGTGGACCAGCTGAAGTACGATGTGCAGCATTTGCAGACAGCTCTGAGGAACTTCCAGCACCGCCGTTACATCCGGGAGCAGCAGGAGCGGCAGCGAGAGGAGTTGCTTGCACGTACATTCACTACTAATGTAAATATTTTTTGATTTTTAGATCTCTGTTTTCCATAGTCTTTGAGAGAAGTTTTAGGCAAGATGTAGGCGTGACTTTATTAGCTTGCTGATGAGACGTGTAAAAGGAAAAAAGGTAGAAAAGAATAACAAGATTTGTTGACAAAGTACAACTCTTGAGGAAAAGTAGGACTGTGAAGAGGCAGTAGTAAGAAGCTCCAGAAACTGCAGCTCTAATTTTATCCAGTGCAGTTCTACCTGACTTCATCTAGCAGTTTCATGAGGTAGGTACCACAGTATACATTTCACCTGGATTTGTGTCAGATGTCTTTGTCACAGCCTGAGATTTGTAAACGTCCAGCTTTTATACACTCCGCTGTCAGTAGGTGTCAGCAAGCTTCAGGTTGTCCAAATATAAATCACACAGCTGGGGAAAAATCCCCTTGCTTATTACCTGTAACTGATTCAAGAGTTTTTAATGACAAGAATGTGTTTCCACCTGTTCTTGTTAGTTTTTAGTTCCTCCACTGGGAAGTACCCCCAGTGCAAATTCCTAGAGGAATTTTGCTCTGAGTAGTGTAGTGTTGCTTGCAGATGTAATTTCTTTTGTAACTCAAAAGCTAGTATTTTTTGTTTGTTTGTTTCGTTTGGGTTTTTTCTCCTCTCCACCTCTCCTCCCTTTCTTTTTTTTTTCCTTTTTCTTTTCTTTTTTTGTTTGTTTGTTCAAAGGAATATAACCTACCATTCATTTCATGTGTTGTCATTCACTGTCAGAGCAAGGAAGGATGAATGTGAGCAGTCCTATTTTCTTCAGATTTGGGAAGTTGGATGCATTCTCAAAGCCTGACATAAAGATGACACCTAGCATTTTGTTGCCTGTTTCGAAATTATAAACAAGACTTGAAAGGAACACTGAGATTTGAAACCTGCCTTGTTCTCAAAACACTGTCGTGTTCCTCTGCAAATATGCAGAAATTTTCCTGCAGGGAAACTTATTATCCAGAAATAAAACACCTGTGTAAGTGGAACAGTTTTGAAGAGCAGGAGCAAGCTTGCAAATCAAAATAAATGGCAAGTTATTTTTTTCTCCTTTAGATGCTGCAAGGTGTCTCAAGGTGGGGGAAAAAAAAAAACAAACCCCACGATTCTTTTGTATTTCTTCTAACTCATGACCAAAATGTGATTTTTGGAGTATGATATCCCTTTAATAGGAAAATGAGGATTTATTTGTCAGTTATTAGCCTGTCCACACAGTTTCTATTCATACACTGTCCTGTTCTATTAAATAGAAAGGTCAGCTGAGCATGTAAGAATCCTGAATAAATCAGTTACATACATAACAGCTTTTGAAAGCTGTAGCAGTTCTGAACAGTTTGCTTAATTCAAAGATAAATATGGTCTTGTACTGTTCTGGAGAAAACCACTAACAGCAAATGAGAAATATGATGCTGTCTAGTCTTCCTATGAGGAGGGTCAAAAATCCACTTTGATACTTTTCTTGCTGCCTTCTGCTGTATTAAAAAAAACCCACAAGCTCCTTGTATAAGAAATGGAATCCTTGCTGATGTGATGTTTTAATAAATAGCTGGAATGAGAGCCCTTCAGGTGCAAATCCAAGTGCTTCTGCTCTGCAGACTCATGTGAGACAAGACACTTGTTTCAGCCTTGGTGCTTCATTAACATTTGATCAGAGATGAGCGTGCTGTCGCGGCTTCTTCATCCAGTAACTTTAACCCTGCAACTGGTCACAGTTGTACCCTTTATTCTTCAATCTTTTACACCAAGCAGAGCACCCACCGAGGCAGCACAGCACCTGACACTGGATCCTGCACGTCATTCCCATATTAACTAGTTTTTTTTACAATAATCACCAGATGTACACAGAGGAAGTGTGGTGGTGTTACACACAGGTGTTGTTACACACAGGGAACCTACAGCTGACAGTCAGGCGTAGGGTATTCACCTTCTTCTGCCCTAATTTAGTAGTTCTTCCCATTCTGAGTACGTGGAAGCAGGGAAGCCAGTGTTTCCACACTTACCAATTCCTGTTTGTAAAACAATGTGAGATTGATGAGCTGTTACCTTGACTCTCTCAGTGGAACTGTGTCCAGAGAAGATTAAACTGGAAGCCTTTGAAACACAAAAGCAAGTGCATCCTCTGGCCTCTTGTACAAACCAGCTGACAGAATTTTATCCAGTTGTTTCCATTTGGAGATTGATAGTTTCTAGTTGAGCTAATGCATCTTTTCTGGAAAAATGGTAATTTTTTATTTAGATGAGGCCTGGGTGGTGAGCAAGTCAGACCTTCAATAATCTAGGTTTGTATCTGTTTTCCCTCGTTGTCAGAAATTTGCACCTTGTAAGTGGTTCACAGAATGTCATCTCCCAGACGTTGTGTTTTGCAGGACTTTTGTCACTTAGATAGTAAATAGTAAATCTTTCAAAAGTCTTTCACTCAATGATCCAATGACTCTTTGTTAAACACCTTCTGTTAGCTACCATGTTCTCTCTTGTAATACCCTTTCCTACCTATATCATAAACTGAGATTATAAAAAATTCTCCACTTTTAATCTTTTTATCCTTCGAGATGTAATTGCACTTGAACATCTGATCAACTTTGCCTTTTGGCTTGCTCCCCGCAGGCTTCTCTAAATTCCTTTTTTCATTCAAATATTAATGTTGTATTTAATATCCATATGAAAGAATGTTTAAAACATAATCATTCAAGTCCTGTCAAGTTTTTTTGCCACGTTTGTCTCTGCATGTTCTTTTTTTTTTGGCTCTAACTATGTGTGTGCAGTATGAGAGAGCAGGCAAGGTAACCGAGACCCTGCATTTCCCCCACAGGACTCTGACACCACCATCCCGATCGACGAAACATTACAGTTTAATGAATCCCTCCAGAATGCCCATCGTGGCATGGATGATCTTATTGGCAGTGGGACCAACATCCTTCAGGGGCTGAGGGACCAGAGAGTGACATTAAAGGTGGGGCATCATTTTTTACCCAAAAAAGACCCCACGTTTTTCTGCATTTATGATGACCAGGCTAAGTAAAAGAAATACATGAGTTTGTTTCAGTGCACTGCTGCAAGCTGAGAATGCTGGGAAAGGCCCAAACTCACTAATTTTAAACTAAAGCTGAAATCTTTACATTTTATCATCTTATTGGGAACATCTTTAAGCTCTTTTTGTGGCTGGACTGCCTGGCAGTCTTCACCTGCACAGTAGTTATTACCTGGAGTGCTGAATGTTATGTTTTGTTCTGTTATGTTTATTTTTCTGTTTGTTTGTTTGTTTGTTTGTGTTTTTTTTTTGTTCAGGTGGAGAATGGAAAGTAATGGCTAGCTCATAGATAGATGTTGATTCAGATGAAGATCACTCAGAGCGACCACAAAGCTGGCATGAAGTACTTCTGTTTAAGATTAGTAGTAAAGATAATGTGGCTCATGTCTAATCCACCTCAACAATGTTATCTTTCCCTGAATATTGTTAGTGACAGCTGTATTTCTTCATATCTCTTAATAACAAATATTTGTCTTTTATTTTAAAGACCGTTCAAAGTGGTGTTAAATTTTGAGCAAATAGCTCAAAGATACAAAAAAAATTTAAAAAATTAAGAAGTGTGTGTTGGGGGAAAGCTGTATTTCTGAAAAATGTGGGGATATCCCCATCTCTGTCATATTTATCTGCTGATGGGGAGAACTGTTGTTACCTGGTTTGTGATACTGCTTTGTTTAGAGGATTTAGGCATTTTTAATTGCAAACATGAATCCCTACATTGGGTCAGGTGGTTTCACTGGCTATGAAGATGCTCTGGCCAGTTTATCTACAGATATGTGTGAACTGTGCACACCTCTGGGTCTCACCCTTCAAGTTCAGAGGTGTTTTGCTGGAGCAGCTTTCAGTGCCTGTGGTACCCATGTCCTGGGAGTTACCAGAGCTGAGTGGCACAGGGTGGAGTTGTTAGGTGCTTGTTTTAATCCTAATATCTGTTGCAGTTCACAAGCCAGGTACTTCCTATCCTGATCACAGAGGTCCAGGCTGACTGGTTCTCCCAGAGCACCAGACAGGACCACTGCAGGGTACAGTGGGAGAGGACATTTGATCTCTGTATTTAGCACTGGATAGATTTGGAGGTTGATCACATTGGCTTGGGGCATCCAGTCATTAAAGAGCACGAGTGTACCTCTGCTTCACACAGAATCACAGAATGTCAGGGATTGGAAGGGACCTCAAAAGATCATCCAGTCCAACCCCCTGCCAGAGCAGGAACCTAAATGAGATCACACAGGAAGGCGTCCAGGCGGGTCTTGAATGTCTCCAGAGAAGGAGACTCCACAACCCCCCTGGGCAGCCTGTCCCAGTGCTCTGTCACCCTCACCGTAAAGAAGTTTCACACAGGGAGTTGAGCTGTTGATTCTACAAGGTGTTAAATCACTGAGTCGATAATCTCTGATGAGTGACGGAAGCACTTGGTTTTTGGAGGGTTCCTGGGATGGAAGTGCATACACCACAAATCAGGAGAACTTGACCGTGGTTGGCAAATATAAAGGAACACTTGCAGAACCCTCAAATCCCTCAAAGGGATTGAGAGGAAATACTACTTGTTGTTGCAGTCAATAGTCCTGTCTTGCTTCTTTTGCTAGTTAGATGGCAGAAAGGTGCCTGGATCCCTGTTAGATTATGAAGCTGCCAGCTTGTGGCAAGTCAAGGATGCTTCAGGTCAGCGCTGTGTTAGTGAGGTTCTCCGTGTGCCCCTGCCCACTGCTGCTGATAGCCTGTGGTTTTGGGAGCGTCACGTTTGTACGTTTTCAGAGGGATGTTTCTCATTCACAGATGAGGAAACATCTGTTCATATCCCTTTCCCCCTTAGCTGAGCTTTTCTTACACTATCAAAGCTTTAATTTGTTGCCCATTTTCAAATCTGGCAGAAGCAGCTGGCACAGAGCCAGCTTATCAAGAAAAATGGGTGCATTTGTGAGCACGTTAATCTGTGTAACTTCCTGGATATTGGACATAAATAGAGACATAAGAAATGAACCAAGTATTCCCAAATTGCTGCAAGGCTTTAACTGTTCTGGGTCTGCCATTCCACTCTTCCTTGGACTGCAAGAATTGAAGAGTCTTCACTTTCCTATTGTTTGCTTTCATTTGAAAGCTTCATTTTTAGTTTCTCTTTTCCAAGCAGGGGTTTCTTTTGTTCTGAAGTAGTGTGAAAAGATTGCTCCAGCGACAGGAAAAGTACTGAACTGTAAAAGTCTGGTACCCAGAGGTTTAATGTGAGGTGTATGAAATGAAAGTGAAAAATGTGATTATATTTTGCTAGTGGAGACATAACCTGATTTCAGCAAAGGGCCTGAATACCTACACAGCCTTCTACAGAAGAAACTAATTCACTTTTTTGGTATTGCAAATCTGTGTAGTTTATGGATTGAGGAACTAACTGCATGTATGTTTGACAGGCTGAGAGAGTTGGGGCTGTTCAGCCTGGAGAAGAGAAGGCTCCAGGGAGACCTTCTAGTGGCCTCCCAGTACCTGAAGGGGCTCCAGGAAGGCTGGGGAGGGACTTTTCATAAGGGCAGTTAATGACAAAACAAGGGGAAATGGGTTTAAGCTGAAAGAGGGGAGGTTTAGATGAGATATTAGGAAGAAGTTCTTCACTGTGAGGGTGGTGAGACAGTGTCCCAGGTTGCCCAGAGAAGCTGTGGCTGCTCCTCCCTGGAAGTGTTTAAGGCCAGGCTGGATGAGGCTTTGAGCAACCTGGTCTAGTGGAAGGTGTCCCTGCTGCTGGCAGGGGGGTTGGAACTGGATGAGCTTTAAGGTCCCTTCCAACCCAAACCATTCTATGATTCTGTGTCTAATATAGTTGATATAAATTCTGTCCTCATAGAACATTTCTGATCTTAAATCAGGTTGATACTCAAGACAATTCCCAAATTTCACCTTTTTATTCTTTTGAGACCAAAAATACAGCAGACTGTAAGAACAGAAACTAGAGTTTTTATTTTGAAGCGTGGTAGTAGAGCATTGTGATGACAACCTGTGCTACTGACCTTGCTTGGAGAAGAAAAAACTTCAGTCTTACAGCTTCTTGAAGCAGGATGTTGTGTTAAGGACTTGGACCCAGAATGCAGTTTGAGAGAACAGGTCCATTATCATCACCACCTCTCCAGCAGCTCCCATCTTTGCGCACACGAAGGTGTGATGGAGGCTGGTCCTGGCCGGTGTCTCTCTGCTTGCGCGCTGTGAGCTGGGCTGTGGTGCTCATGCAGCATCTCTCTCTGGCCACCACTACCTGACCCATTTCTCTAGAAAGGTGCCTCTCCCTGAGCTGTAGCTCTGAGTTCTCTCCCTTCTTCCCAGACAGGACGATATCCAGCTCCGAGCTGTGCCCAGCCTACATCTACGCGCCTGTGTTTCATACAGTTTCCTTTGACTGTTGCCCTGCTCTAGTGAAGATGTCCCTGCTCACTGCAGGGGGTTTGGACTAGGTGACCTTTGAAGGTCCCTTCCAACCCAGACCATTCTA